GGAGACGCATTAGCTATTCCTCTTTCTTATATGTAATGTTGCTCAACGTGATATATATTATCAAGTCTTATATATATTCAAGTAAATGATATAGGTTGTTAATCGACTCTCTTTAAATATACTTATGATTTTGGACTATTTTACATTATAGGCTAAAATCTGTCGTATTTAAATTAAGTCATAGGTCCTTTTCTTTAACATGAAAATAGAGAAACTCATTTCTATTATAGTCATTGCATGCTCCAGATATATAGTAGGAGTACTATGTGATAACGCGGGAGCGTGAAATACTCATTCTTCCACTTTTGCAACTTCAGATTTTCAGATTTGATTTAAGAGAGAAAAGATGAAGGGCGGATTTGGTTCTATTGGGCATGTCAATTTGTTTGTAACAAATTTTAAACATATGGAAATAAATAAATCACACAAATAAAATCTGAAGAAACATGAGTATAATTCTGTTGATCCATTCATTCTAGTCTCCTAAGATTTATCCATGATTCGACTGTCGTTAGTGGCGCATTTCTCGAACTAGGATGATTTGGATTTTTGACCTCTCTGTATGAATAATCTGTATTCAAGATCTTGATCTCTATATGGAATTAACTCAAATTGAATGCATCTTCTAGAATCCCACAAAATTTTAATGTCTACAGATACATCCGATAAAAATAAATAAACTAAACGTCTATCAATAAAAACATACATATTAACTAAATAATCTCGTTTGTATATCATCTTTATATTATAATTCCCACATTATATAATTCTATATATAACTTATACACGAAACAAATGCCCCTCACACAAAGTAGAGGTCGAAATCGAAAACACTTCCCCTTAGATATTCCAAAAATTACTCAGTCCATAATTAATATTTTCCTGTTATACACAAATAAACATTTTTTCCTCGTGGAATTCAAGAAGCGTCTAATTAATGCATTTTGCACGTATCTATTTTTTAATTTATATAGTGATTCTCTCTATGAATTTATTATTCGATGCCATAACCTCTTATATGTGAGAAAGATATGAATGAGCAAACATATAAAAGAATATATTTTATTCTTGCGCAGAAAGAATCATCGTGTATATTGTTGGGTAAATGGATTTTCCTTTTCCATCTTTATCTCGTAGAAAAATGGTTAGGATACTATAAATAGAGACTCGTTCTTTCTAACATAGTAACATTCATAATATAGTCTAGGTGCTTTGAGAGTTTGTGTGGGGTGAGGGGGGGGGGGGAGGGGGGAAACGGCAAGATACGAGTGATACGTTATCACTTGCATAAATCTCTTTTAAAACTGATAGAATTGTGTGAGGGTACCTTATCTTCTCTCGATATTTTGTAGTCTCATATTTAAATAGTGAATTGCTCATCTCTTTTGTAGATATAGATCGATTGATCGAATTACATTAAATCTTTATCTTATATCATATTATATATATATTTTTGGTTTGTCTTCTCGCTTATGATCTTTCGAGGTTTGCTTTTCTATGTTGGTTATGTAAGCTAACGTATACTTGGAGAGACAAGTGAATCTAAGGGATGAGGCAACTAGCTAGGCTAAAGGGTCAAACTCTTCCAATCAATTGGCTATAAATATTGGAATAAGAAAGCAAAATAATCCACAACCA